AAACTCAAAATCTACTAATTAGTAATTTTTACAGTGACTTTAACCATAACTCTAATCCTAGCTATAGTCCAATCCTAAATCCGAACTAATACTCGAAAATAACTCCAAATCAGCAAAAGTAAAAAAAGAAAAAAAAAGAAAAAGAAATATATAGGTAACTTGCCCACAGGTTTTAGGATCACTTGTGTAATTACAATCAGCAGTGTTAGGATTATCAATGTACATATGCACACTTCATTGTCACCCGTATAGTTATACTAAACTTTAGGATGCCAGAATGTAGTTAATCCAAAAATAAACTATAAAAAGATCCATTCCTCTCTACTCTCGCTAACCAGATATGGAAGTTAAAAGGGATATATATTCATCACTACACCTCATTGTACCCTCCCCTGCCAAGCGCAAGGAGAGTATTTATAGGATTTGCATCTTCAGTTTGCCGTAAAAGTAATTTTGAGAAGCTGCGAATGTTTTGTTGACTGAAATAAGGCTATAACGGCGAGTGCTACAGAACTTTATATTTTCAATATTTATTTACCAATAAACTAGTTCAGAATAACAATGAAACTTAATTTTATAGAAAAACTGCAATGTTTGATACAACAAAAATCCAGTAACTTTTGACAGCTAACCAAATGATTAATTTGTTCAGAAATATATTTCATACAATAGAAATAAAAATTAATGCTACACCAACAAGGTCATGGATTTCCGGTCCGAAAGTATAGATAGTTTTAAAATATCAGATAAACAAGCACTTAATTCGCTATAAAAATATATTTGCTATGAAAAAGGGTAGATATCCAATAATTTTGTAACGAACAAAATGACGGATTTGGATCTGTTAATAAATTTTTAGGCTTATCCATCAGGGCCGGGATGGCCCAAAAATCCGGGCCCGGGCCGGGCAAAACCGGAGCCCAGACCCCGGTACCCGGGGCCGGGGCCGGGGCCGGGCCCGACCGGGCCGGGTTCGGGCTTGACCGGATTTTTCTAATTTTTTTTATTTTTTATCAAAATTTTTAAATTTTATTTAAATTATAAAAAAAAACAAGAAAAATTAATAAAAAACAATAATTTTATTAATCACTTAAAATGACATAAATTATAAATAAAAAATAATAAAAACAAATTCTTTATTAATAATTAATAAATCATTTACAAATTACAAGTACAAATTTATTTTGGAATTCATCACATCACAATAGATAAGTACATCCCAACTAGGTTGGCACCTACTCACCTATATCACTATCATTTGCAACTATTTTTAAAATAATTCTTTACAAATTTTAAGCTAAGATATAAAAATTATAATTTATTCTTTATATATATCTGCTAGTCCAAATTCTTCAAATTTATCTTCAATTCCAGCCATCTGATCGATGTGTTGCGTTCGCTTCTCGTACCTCCACCAATCTTGTAAGCACATCACCGCTTGTACACTATACGGATCTAAGCATGTCCTGTGGTCGTCGATCAAACGTCCTGCTGTGCTGAAGGCGGATTCCGAAGCTATCGTCGAAACCTGCACTGTTAGTAAGTCACGAACCATGGTGGAAAGTATAGGATATGAAACTGATCCATATACTTTTCACCATTGCAAAATACCTAAAGCATTTCCTTGATATTTAACTAAAGAAGCAGATAAATATTCATCTATTTCAGAAACCTCCAATGATGACGATCCAAGTCCAGATCCACTAGTTAGCTCAGCTACCATTGCATACCTATCAAAACTTATACTTTTACCTCGGGATGAGCTCGAAGAAACCGAAGCTGTAGACTGTTGTGTAGCTACACCATGTCTAGCTGCATACTTATCATATAAGGTTTGAAAATAATTTCTAATAGCTAAATAATGAGTAGTAGCAGTAAGGGTGGTTCCATCATCTAAGTCTATAAATCTGATTACCATACAAGGATTGTAACAAACTTCGAAGGCCAATATCCTTCAAGCATGGATCAATAAGAACACCTAAACAAAAAATATGAGGAGTATGCCTAAAGTACTTATTAAATTTGCTCTCTATTTGAAAAATCATAGGTCCAAAAGTATCATCCATACGATATTTCCCAAATTTTTTTTGAATATTTAAAATTTGTAAAGCAGCTAAAGTAATGGTTGGATAATAACAGCCAGATAATAACATTGTAGCATCATAAAAAACTTGTAACATTTTATTTAAATTACATATAATTGTCCATTCATCTTCAGTTATTCCATAAGTGCTATCAGAACTAGAACTAGAAGCATAATAGTTTATAAAATCAGTTATAATGTCTTTATATTCTATTGCTACACTTAACATTGCATAGGTGGAATTCCACCTATGGTCAGCATATTTTGGAATTAGTCTGGACTTTATATTTTTTTTTTACAAAATTGTTTCCATCTTTTAAGTCTTTGTTCAGAAGCATTATGCATATAAGCAACTGTTCTAATCTTTTCTATCATGAGTTTAATTTTAGTAAATGCACTTTGAACAATTAAATTTAAAATATGACAGATACACCTAATATGAAAAAGATCACTATGACATGGCAATGACAAAGTTGATCTGATAAAATCAACAGCTACATTGTTATTACTTGCATTATCTAGTGAAAGAGAAAATATTCTTTCTGAAATTTCTAATTTCATAAGTTCTTCAATTATTAAATTTGCAACATTAGCACCAGTATGTGACTCTTCTATTGCAATAAAAGAAACAACTCTTTTAAACATTTGCCAATTTTCATCAATCCAGTGTGCTGTGATACATAAATATCCAGTTTGTGCTCTAGATGTCCAAATATCAGAAGTTAAAGAAAATTTACAGTTTAAATTTTTAAAATAAGAAATTATTTTTTCTTGTTCCTGTTGATAATATTTTAAAATATCACGTTGACAGGTTTGACGAGAAATTTTTTTAAATGCAGGATAAAAACCATCTCTAAACATATCTTCAAATTCATCATCTTCTACTAATTTAAAAGGAAGGTTTTTAAGAATGATAAACCTGATTACGCATTTCCTGGCTCTGACAGCATCATAGTTCCAACTACCGAGACTACCAGAAGAGGAGGATTGAGAAATCATAGATTGTCGGATATCACCTTGCTTTGTTGTGTTTATCTAAATGGCATTTGAGGTGATTTTGGTGCCTCTTATGATGAGCTTGAAAAATCTTGTCGCACAACGCACACTTAGCCTTCTGGGTGAGGATCCTACCGTGTTCATCCTTGGTGACGTCGATCTTCTCGTAAAAATTCCACACATCGGATCTTGGCCTTTGAGGAGCTCTTGGTGCAGATTCGTCACCACCGGATTCGGGATTAACTTCGGTAAGAGTAGACCCAGTAGGAGGACTCATTTCAGGATCGGGAGATAGGTTTTGCTCTTCATAATCAGATCCGGAAGCCATTTGATGAAAGGATTAGAAAGTATAAGAGAGTATAAGAGTATAAGAGTATAAGAGAGAGTATAAGAGAGAAGTAGATGAGTTTTGGTGTGAAGAAAATAAATGAAAACCCCCTCTATTTATAGAACCAGCCCCCTAAGCAAATGACCAAAATAACCTCACAAAATAGCCGTTTTTTTGATCGTTTTTGGGGATAACGTGTCAAAAGACGGCGCGGCCCGGCCCGACTGGTTTTGGCCACAACGTCACGGAAGTGACCGTTGTGGCCGGGCCGGGCGAGCTGGCCTGGCCCGGCCCGGCCGTTTTGCGCGCACACCATCGGCCCGGCCTGGCGCCGGTGTTTGGCACAACGCGTCACTCTGGTGACGTTGTGGCCGGCGGCGGGCTAGCCGGCGCCGGGCCCGATTTTTATCGCAACACGTCCGCAGTGGTGATCGTTGCCATCGGCCGGGCGTCGGGGCCCGGGCTTGCGCCGGCCCGATTTTTGCCCAAGGGTGGCCGGCCCTCCGTTCCGGGTGCCTGTCGGGCCCGGGAAAACACAAAGAGAACAGACAAAAATAGAACATAGAAAAAGAAAAGAAGAACATAGAAAGAACCAGGACCAACGCCAGACCACAGGACAGAGCCAGAAAATACTAACAACAAAGGCAAGGACACCGAAGAGAATGGAGACACAAGAGGTGGCACAAAAACAAAACAGGCAAGAATACAGGGTACCGAGAACAGGAAAGGTCTTTTTGGACAGGCCTATAAATTTCACACAATAAAATTCTAGATATTGAAATGGTGAATTTCAAAAACTAAATTCTTTGCAATAGATATTACGTACGCAAAGTTCCCTCCATGCATGCAACATTTTTTGTATTCATATTTATAACAGAGCTTTGCTACAGTGACCCAAAATATAGGACCAATAAAGGGGACAAGTGAAGTGTTCCCCTCCTATTGGATAATGAGTTGACCATCATTAATAATGACCAACTCATTATCCAATAGGAGGGCGACACATCACTTGTCCCCCTATTGGTCCCATATTTTGGGTCCTTAAAGAGTTTTTCTTTATAACATGCCAACTACACTAAATTAAAAAGGAACGAAGATTCAAATTGTTCAGAAGAATGAATTGTTCAAACCTTTAATAATTTCATGTTAGCCCTCATATTTTTGGAATTGCTTACACATCTTTGAAATTCTAATTGGTCTTGCAATTTGGTTCCAAATAACTAAAACACCCCTCAAACTATGTCCTTTTATGGAACGTAGAAATGCTCTAGCTATTTGTGGGGGGGGGGGGGGGGAGAGACTTAAGCTGAGGATACTCGGTAATTGGAAAACCAATTTTTAAGGCCCGCTATGATTTTTGGGGCGTACGAGCAATTTCAAATATTTGAGGGACTAATATGGCATCATTGAAGAATTGAATGACTAGTATCCTAACGAAACGTATTTACACAAAACAACCAAAATTGTAACATATATTGCTCCGTCACAGCTATTTTTATTTTATTATCATCGGATTCAATATATCTTCTCTTTTTTTTGTTATTCTTTATATAATGTTATTTTTATTTATTCGGCGAAAAAAAAAAACAAGCGTAACCGACGATTGAGTGACCGCTCTCTCTCTCTCTCTCTCTTCCCTCTCTCTCTCACTCTTTGTCTGCTGGCATTTTTTCTAAAGAGAGAAAGAGGGGAGGGAGGAGAAGATAAAGCGAGTGAGAGAGGAGAAGAGGGAAAAGAGGAGACAAAGATTTGAAAAGAAAATAAAGAAAAAAAAAATTAACCAAATCCCACCCTCTTCTTCCTCCTCTCGTTCTTCTCTTTCATCTGTTTAATTTTGAGCTATTTGGGCCTATTTTCTTCTCAAAAAAAAAAATTTTTTTTTTAATTCAAAAAAAAAATGGAAGAAGGAAAGAAATCGTCGGCGATGTCTGACGTCGGCGCCTGGGCGATGAACGTCGTGAGCTCCGTCGGGATTATAATGGCCAACAAGCAGCTCATGTCCCCGGCCGGCTACGCCTTCTCTTTTGGTACTCAGATCCTTCTCTCCTCTAGCCTCTGCTTGCTTAGGTTTAGGGTTAGGGTTTTAGGACAAGATTTTGATTCATTATTTTTTAGTCTTCAAATTAATTAGTGTAATGATTGGGTCACATGATCTTCTTCATAAAATGCATGTGCTTTCTGTGCGCGTATTCAAATTAGATATTGGATTCAGTTGGATCTCTGCATTTGTTCATAAAGATGTTCCTTCGATTTCCCGATTCAGATTTTTCTGGGCTGTCTCACGTGAGATTCATGTGCAATCATTTACTGTTTTAGTCCACATTGGTCAAGCTCGGGTCTCCTCTCTTTCAATCCCCAGATCTTCATAGTTTTAAGACCCCATTTTTTTTTTTCATTTTTTTATAAAGATTTTAACTTTGGTTTGTGTACTGTGACAGCCACGACTTTGACTGGGTTTCACTTTGCGGTCACTGCATTGGTTGGATTTGTATCGAATGCTACTGGGTATTCGACGTCGAAGCATGTGCCCCTTTGGGAGCTCCTCTGGTTCTCGATTGTGGCCAATACGTCCATTACCGGGATGAACTTGAGCCTTATGCTCAACTCTGTCGGGTTTTATCAGGTTCTGATTGATTGGAGGAGATTTCAACTTTGACAATTTTGCAATTTATATGTTTAGATTTTCTTGATCTTGATCCAATCAAAGTTTTATTGCTTTTGATAATGTAGATCTCAAAGTTGAGCATGATTCCTGTGGTTTGTGTGATGGAGTGGATCCTTCATAGCAAGCATTACTCGAGAGAGGTGAAGATGGCCGTGGTGGTGGTGGTGTGTGATGGAGTGGATCCTTCATAGCAAGCATTACTCGAGAGAGGTGAAGATGGCCGTGGTGGTGGTGGTCCTTGGAGTTGGTGTTTGTACTGTGACAGATGTCAAAGTTAATGCCAAGGGTTTCTTGTGTGCATGTGTAGCAGTGTTGTCGACATCCTTGCAACAAATTGTGAGTAATCAATGTCCCTTTTGAATATCATCATGTGTTTTTAAGCTAATCTGTGCTGTTTGAGTTCATCTTGGGTGAATTCCTTTTTAAAGGAATTATTTTCTGTTAAGTTTCTTTTGGTGTGATAGAATCTGAATTTTGCTTGGCTTGGCATGGACCCTTTATCATCAATAGAATGGCTGCGTCTATGATTTCATTTTAAGGATTGAAATTATAACATTAGCGTTGTCATTATCTTCTGGTAAATTATTTATTCAATTTTCCTTGCAGCTTCCTGCAGGATTACATTGTTGGAGACATTTCAATTTTCTTTGTTACTGTCTTGATCAATTTTTTTTTATGGCATCTGTCTTGATCAAATTTAAGGTGTACTTGAGATATTGACTTTATCTTCCATTTTATGTATAAATCCATGAGTGGAAAATTTTCAATAGCATTGTCCACCTTTGTGCCTCACCTGTTTGTTGGTAAGAGAGAATTCGTTATTTGTTATAGAAAGCTGAAAACTCTTTATAGCATATGATACATGCTTCAATTTTTTCGCATTTATTAAGTAAACGTATTCATATATAATATTTGAGATGGAAGATGAAACCTTTAACAATAGAATTGAGAAATGGAAATATATCTATTAATATACTTAATCAGTAAACTATAAACTTTAACACGAGTGATATTTCTGTTAGGATAATTAGTATGTATGACTTTCATACAACTGATATTAGTGATGTTTCCATATACCGTAATACTGATTGGGATCCTTTTCCTCATCAGTCACTTTTCTATAGGTTAAGTTGGTAATTTTAGGTCTATCTGCCAACCTCCTTTTGGCCAATAAGCTAATAAGCGACAAAAGAGGATTTGCATATGCTTCTATTGGGAAGCAACTTTTATCAACTTGTTTCAGAATCAATAGCAATATAATTTCATTTAGTTTTCTTTTTATTCAGTGGGCCTCTTCAAGAGTTCTTATTTTTAAATCTGTTGGTAGCTGCTACAGCCTTCTAGTTTTCCTAGGAAAGCTTGAAATCATTATGTTCACTCAAGTTCTCCCAGTCATATTGAGTATAAGGGCTTACAATAAACTCTTTTCATTATATGAACTTTAAGGTGTATGAAGTCTAGTCTACATTTATTTTTCCTTCAAAAAATTTATGGTCATTTATGGGCTTCACTAAAGTCAGGAAGTCAAGAAATCAGGCTGGTTCGGAATGTTGACAAAGGTCAGCGAGTTCAAGGCAACATTGTTAAATTAACGACATTTGGAGGAAACTTGAACTAAATTACAGAACAAGGAGAAATTTCATGCATTTAAATCAGCAAGTCGCACACAACAGGAAGTTCTAGACTACTAAAATGAGTCGTGTGCAGAAGATGGTAGGGTCTTGTCATCCTCTTGCTCTTGATGCCTCCAAATAGATGAGCTGTATTTTATCTGTTATTTCGTGGATCAGAAAAAGTGATTTGGATTGGCAGTAAGGAAGGAAACAAGCATTCTTCGGTGATAGAGAGGGAATATCCGCTCAGCTGAAGTTAGATGCCTAAACCTTTTGAAATGGAATGGATACTCCCTTCAACCTTAAAATGGGTGATATACCTTGTCAAACCAAGGTTAGCACTCATTTGGCTCAAATCTAAACCCACCTCCTATTATGGGTTCATTAGCCCTTACATGATTTATCTAGTTAAACTTCAGCATAATGGTCAAAGGACCTATTCTGAGTGATCATTATCTGGGGTTTCACGCCTAACTTAAAGAACCAGTGATTGTGTTTGAGTAACGAGGACAAGAATAAGGCTATTCCTACAATCAAGCAGGGCTTTATTGGATAGTGGATGCTATAAGCAGTCCAAAAAGATGGTGATTTACCAACATCCACATCTAAGGTACCTTAATTTTGATGATATGGAATCAAAGATCTTTTAATTTTAGGCCTTGTGATCAACTTCTTTTCGGCCCTTGTTACCTTCACAATTGAAGAATAAGTTCTCAACTTATGTTGGTCTTGTCTCTTTAATGCACACTTTCTTGGCTATATCAAATGGCTTTTAAAAAGTCTGATTGGTTGCTGGCATATATTTTATTCATTTCTTCATGTAGGCTTTTCTTTTCCATTTATTTCTTGAGATTGGAAGAGTATTATCATTTATCATGTATATGGTTGTAAATAGCAGTAAAGCCAGTGATTGATAGGATAACAACCAATTTATGACTTGAATGTTAAAAAGGTCAGAGTTGGATTGATTCAATCCCTTTTGGCTTTAGCCACGCAAATGATAAATTGTGGAACTTGTACTCTCCTTTATAACTTGTTTTGTCATGAATTTTCATGATCATTCATTCCTTCTTTTCCATTGATTGACATGGGGACTCTTGGGCCACTGCATTCATTTTTAATCTTTGTTTTTTAGTGTAATCGATTCAGTGGCTGTGCTTTGGGAAACATCTGTTAGTCTGATTCTGATGTGTTACACTGTACCTAGTTAAGTTATATGTTGTGTGTTTGAGTTCTGCCCTACCATTAATGTATGTCAAATATCAAGTTTATTTCACAGTTCATAGTTTTAACCTGGAAAAATATTTTCTTTTCCGTTTATGAAGGTGAACTTCAACTTTTGGATCTGTTTTAAATTGTATTAGTTTTATAATCTCGTGTATTGCTATATAACTATTTAATATGGATTTCTTTGGGCAATGATTCTTCCTTTGACTCTGTAGGCGCATTCTCTATACTAGATCAGAATTTTACATACCTTCTCTGGCTTATAACTGCTTTTCCAGTTAATTTTACCTCATATCGGTGTTTCCCTTCCTGTTCGCAGTCAATTGGTTCCCTGCAGAAGAAGTACGCTATTGGATCTTTTGAGCTGCTGAGCAAGACAGCTCCCATACAAGCTCTTTCTCTCATTTTCTTCGGACCTTTCATAGATTATTACCTCAACGGCAAATCCATAGTGAAATATAAGTTTTCTCCCGGTGTAATTGTAAGTTCTCTCTTACGTCTTATTCTTTTTTTTCCTTTTCACTTGCTTGCTTGATAAAGGATGAAGAATCTAATAGGGTTAGTTGCGGATAGACCCCTTGTAGTATCGTTCAACGCGAATAGATCCCATGAAGTTCTATTGTTGCAGATACCCCCCATGAGTGGAAATTTTGACTCTGTTTACTCAGAATTATTTTTTGACAGATAGACACCCTAAGGGTTTATTTAAAAAAAAATCACTATGGGGATCTATCTGCATTTGGGCAATAGCGAAGTGGGTTTATCTATCACAATAGAACCACACGGGGGTATATCTGCAATTGGGCAATAGTACAGGAGGCCTATCCACATTTGATCCAATCTAATATTCCGAAGTCCAAACAATATTTGTGCAGTACTTCATCCTCCTCTCCTGTGCGCTCGCTGTTTTCTGCAACATTAGCCAGTATCTCTGTATCGGTCGCTTCTCAGCAACGTCATTCCAAGTATTGGGACACATGAAAACCGTTTGCGTGTTAACACTTGGATGGCTACTTTTTGATTCAGAGCTTACTTTGAAAAATATAATGGGTATGGTTCTTGCTGTTATTGGTATGGTTATATACAGTTGGGCCGTTGAGGTTGAGAAGCAAGCAAATGCTAGGATGGCTCTGGCTAAAACTAGCCTAACTGAAGAGGAGCTCAGATTGTTGAAGGAGGGAGTAGAGAAGGCTTCTATAAAAGATGTTGAAGTTGGGGAGACTAAAGCCTGACCGGAAATTGATTCAGTATTTGGGTGAAGCCTCGGAGATATTTATGTTGAGATTTGTGTTATTTACTACAGTGCGAGATTATTTTTGGTTTAGGTATTTAGTAACATTGTGGGGGAAAATGTAAAGTCCATAGTTTCATCATTTTATTTGTTTTTCCCATGGAAAAGATATCTATATAGAGAACGTATTGCGGTGACTCTGTATGAAATTTATAGTAGCAAGGAAATGCCATCCTTCTTCCGTTTGATTTTCAGTGGCTTGTTGATGTTTGTGAGAGTCCTTTTTAGAATACGAAGTTTTAAGTTTTCATGCCCATCTAAGGTTAAGATTTTGGTAGCTGATCAAGGAAATGTAACGTCGGATACATGTTGCATGTCAGATGCTTGGTGTAGGGAGAATAATGACGGAATTTTCCGTTGAATTAGATGACACTCTAAAATCAAACAGGAAACAATGTGACTTCATGCGTCTTACAATCAATTTGAATCAGTTCAAACTATACAAGCCCAATACAAACCGTTTATCAATATAATGTTTTTACTATTATTTTTTTATTATAATATGAACGAATCTCGGTAAGGCACGAGGATCTCCAGGTCGAAGTCCACCTTCGATCTTTGATCCCTACGAAGTAAATCCCGGGTGTGTGTGGGTCTCACCTTCCATTTCACGCGCCAGGTGGACGGGATCGAACCAGGAATTGGCAGAACCACGTACGCTACGTACCCACCGCGGGTGTTCATCAGCGAACCGATTCTAAAATTGATGACGACGAGGCAATTATCACCTACAGACGAATCACCGACTTAGAACTTGAGCAGGATCTCACCGCGTACAGTTTAGAGAACCCGGTCACGCGTTGAAAAAGAACAACTATGACGCCAGAAATTGAGATCTGAGACCGCTGAGGAAGCATCCGAGTTCGTTTAATGTGAAAGCGATGTTGACCCCGTGGGGGAATTTCGTACTATTAATTTATTAGAATCTTTGACATCATGATCAAATTGAGACCAAGACAAGAACCATTCAAAAAAAAAAAAAAAAAAAGAAGAAGAAGAAGAAGAAATCATTACGAAACCTCAGAATTTGCATCTTCATCCGCTTCCACATTACCAGCGGCACCATCAACTTTGATGAGATGTGAGTCACATGGGGAAAAAAAAAAAAAAAAAAAAAGAAGAAGAAGAAGAAGAAATCATTACGAAACCTCAGAATTTGCATCTTCATCCGCTTCCACATTACCAGCGGCACCATCAACTTTGATGACATTAGAAGGTCCATGAAAGGCTTGATCGATCAAACAAAATTTGGTCTGTGAGGGGTGAGATTATTTAACATGACTTCTCTAATGTTTTGGTTTTGGGGTCCCTGAGCTAACTCGTTAACAATACCTAATCCTCTCATTATGTACAGAGTTACACGTCAAGAGTTCAAACTACAAACTCGATTCAAACACCCCCATGCATTCTGCACATGCTTCACAAAAAAGCCCATGGGTTAGCGTACGTGTGCTTCCACTGTCAACTTTAAACGCTCGATCATGAGCTCTCCCTTTTGCTAGCTTGCTCGTTAACTTACCCTTCCGCTCATTGTAAATGCAAATTAAAAAGGGCAAATTTGGTATTTCACTGCTCTTTTAAAGACCCAAATCATCCCACGTTGTGGGGGGTGTTTTGATAGGATCTGGAGTCGAAGACTGCTTTCTTTGGGCACTTATAACTCCTGACTCATCAGTAGGGGGCTATTTGACCCTACGACGGTTGCTAGTTGCTACCCCTGCGCCTATGTCTAATTATCCAAATAACCATAAAAATTTATAATATATAATTCAAAAATAATTAATTACTAAAATTTTACTCCCTCCAAAATCTCGTAGTAGTTGAAACTTAATTAGGAGAGGCAATTTTGATCCCCTATACTGGTCGAATATGTCCTGAACATACTGGATTATCTGTTGGATATAGAAGGGTATGAACCATCACCGGATCAACAAGATTAATCCTGTCGTGACCCTAATTTCTGGACCTTAAAGAAACATTATAGTCGGACTAAACCTGTTAAATGTTTCTTCCTAAATATAGATTCATCAAATAACAACCAAAAGTTAAACTTAACATATGACTTAAAACCAACACTAATCATCCTTTCTATTAAGGGCCTGTTTGTTTGCACAGAAGTAATTATGAAGTAGCTGAAGTAGAAGAAGTAGATACTACTTCTGCTACTTCTAAGATAAAAAAGTGTGTTTGGTTCTCTGAAAAACTTACTTCTAATACTTCCTTAAATGCTTATGTGGCGCCTACGTGTCATCCTTACTTCCAAAATATTTTTCCAATCCTCAATACTCAAAAGTAACTTAGAAGTAGTTAAAATGCATATTAATTATGAAATAAATAATTTTTTATTAATATTTCCTTTATTAGTTACTTTTAACAACTTTTTTAATTTTAACAATTATTTTGTAGTAATTTGTGATGGTCGTCGGCCAACTTTTCTTTGGGAGGAAGAGAACAATCAGTCTATTAATTCTTTGTCTAAATACCACGTTGATGTACGATCAAAGGAGCGAGGGAGGAGGAAAATTGGATTTCATAGGAATTTATGGTCATCCGAAGTCTCATCGTAGGCAAGAAGTAAACAATTATTTTGAAGCTATGTGGTTTGTTGTGCGTAACGGAAATTTCGGCAGCATCTCTGGTGCACAACAAGAGAGTAGATTTTAACTAAATCCCTGTTTCACAAAGGAAACAAGAATCAAAAGTGTAATATCTCAACAAAGTGGGATATCCACTCTTCCTCTCATCAGTTCTAGGACTGACTTGTCGAGGGAACCTACAAGCTATTACACATCACAGCAAGACAACGAATTTTATGGTTCAGCAAATTGCCTACGTTCACGGGGCAAGGAGGGAGGAGATCTACTATTAGAGAGGGAGAATACAAATAGAGTTTATAATCACACAACTTAAACCCTCACACAAGCTCTCAAATCTCTCACAAAAGGGGATGCTAAAACCCTTAAAGACGGCTGCACAAAACTTTGATGTTTTCTCCTTTCCTGCCTAGCACAAAACCCTAGGAGAACAAACTGCACGCCGCCACACCCCTTTTCTCAACGAATCCGGTGTTTTCCCCAAGCTGCGGTTTTCTGTCTCCTACACTTGCACAAATCCGCCGCCACTCAAGAAAAGCTTGCCCTCTGCCTGCATGCTCACCTAGGCACATTCAAAACTATATTTATAGCTTTGAATCGAATCGGGTGGGCCTGCTTCTTTTTTTCTTCATGCGTTAACATCACGTGAATGTGATATTTTCACGTGGTGGCCCCCACAATCAATCCGCATTCAGAATTCTCCACCTCGGTGAAGTTTTCCCAAAACTAAACCGATACCAACCAAACCAAATGTCTCACATGCCACGTCTAGTATGAAGTGAAACAATTCACGATAACGGATTCAATCCACAATAAGTCGTGAACCCAAATGAGAATGTGAACAAACTCCTAACGTCTGTATCTACTCCCAAATCGGCTGTATCATAAATGACTGCCCACGTATCCTCTTGTCTAAGGAATCAAGCTTTTACGTAGTTCCCTCAAATAGCCTCCAAAGGCCTCAACACCGAAGAATATTCAAAAGCTCCAAACAATGACCTAACTTAACACCTGAAACAACTTTGGTCAATATATCCACAGGGTTGTCCTTTGTGTGGATCTTCTCCAACATGACATCTCCTTCATCCAAGACATCACAAACAAAGTAGAATCTGACATCAATGTGCTTCGTACGTGCATGGTAAACCTGGTTTTTTGCCAAATAGATAGCTGACATGCTATCACAATGTACTTGAATGGTTTCCTATGCAATTCCCAAGTCCTCCAACAATCCACGCAACCATAAAGCCTCCTTAACAACTTCAGTCACCGTCATATACTCCGCCTCTGTAGTAGAGAGAGACATTGTGGACTGAAGTGTATATCTCCAACATACCGGTGCTCCTGCCAATGTAAACACATATCCTGAAGTAGACCGACGCTTGTCAAGATCTCTAACATAATTTGAATCCATGTAACCAATACAATCCTATCCATTCTTCTCATCCTTCTGGAAATTCAATCCAACATCCATGGTGTCTTTAACATACCGTAGAATCCACTTCACAGCTTCCCAATAATCCTTCCCGGGGTCGTGCATGTACCTCGATACCATGATCACGGCCTGTGATAAATCTGGCTTCGTGCACACCATCACATACATCAAGCTACCTACTGTACTGGCATATAGAACCTTCAACATATAATCTCTGTCCTCAACTAAAACAGGCGACATACTAGCTAAAAGTTTAAAGTGGGGAGCCAATGGAGTGCTAACTACTTTTGCATTGCCATCAAAGCTGAATTTATTTAACATCTTCTGCAAATAGCTCTTCTGTGTAAGCTTCAATCTCCCTTTTACCCTGTCTCTCTCAATCTCCATACCTAATATCTTCTTTGCTTCTCCAAGATCCTTCATCTCAAACTCGGATGACAGCTCATCTTTCAACTTTCGAATAGCCGAAGAATTCCTAGAAGCAATAAGCATATCGTCAACATATAAAAGCAAATATATATGCTCACCGTCATGTAGCTTGTGCATGTAAACACATGGGTTATATGGGTTCCTTGTGTACTCCTGGCCAATCATAAAGCTGTCGAATCTCTTGCACCACTGTCGTGGCGATTTCTTCAATCCATAAAGAGAATTCTTCAGCTTACAAACCAAATCTTCTTTTCCTACGGCTTTGAATCCCAAGAGTTGAGTCATGTAGATCTCCTCATCTAAATCTCCGTGTAGAAAGGCTATCTTCACATCCATCTGGACCAAATCTAAATCCAGTTGTGCCACCAACGCTAATAAAATCCGAATCAACGAATGCTTCACAACGGGTAAAAATACCTCATTATAATCAATGCCCTCAAGCTGTACATATCCCTTGGCAACCAATCTGGCTTTGAACCGAATGTGACTAATAGAAGATCCTTCCTTCTTCGCATATACCCACTTACAACCAATAGCTTTCTTACCCTTAAGTAGCTTTGCAAGTTCCCAAGTGTCGTTCTTCTGAAGGGATCGCATCTCCTCCTTCATAGCTTCCATCTACCTGATCGAATCGGGGCTAGACTCTACTTCCCTGAATGTGGATGGAACCATATCATCAACGACCTTCATGTTAGACCCTAAGGTCGCTATGAAAGAACCCTAGAGGGGGGTGAAT